TTTTTTTTTAACTATCTTTTTTAAAGGGAAGGGGGGGGGGGGGGGGGGGCATATCCAAAAAGTAGCCATGTGCCTCGAAAAGTCGAGCGATGGCTCTGCTTGTATTCAGCAATTAGTTAGTTATATTGCTAAATAGTAATGTGGCTTTTAATATTTGTTTACATGATATGAGGGGGGAGGGCGCTAGCTACTTGATAAATAAATGAATGACCAACAAAAAAAGAGTTACATCACTATAAATGACTGCTGGCATCATTGTACAAGTTAAACGTAAATGGAAGGAAAAAAACGTACATATAATAATTATTTTTTAAAATACTACAAAGTTTACCCGAGTAATTGGCATGGTAATCGAAATGCAATTTCACAGCAACAACAAAAATTTCATTGATTTCTGCAGCATTTAAAAAAAAAAAAATTAACACACAAAAACTATAGTTATTCATGAAACTATGTTTCAAAAGTAAATTTAGAAAATGAAATTCTAAATATCTATTAATGTGTTTAAGTTTTCTTTTATCTAGCTCTACAATCATGGAATCGCGTACATTCTGCTAACTAACTATATTTTTCAACGCATGATTCCATCATATAATTTTTTTATTAACTCCTATCCCTACTTTACAAGTTATGCTTCTATGATGAAATATTATTTGAAAATAGATTTATACTTCGCAAGAACTATTATTAAAACTGTAGACTTTTATATTGATGTAACGGTAGTTTGATACAGCGCTATAAAAGTCTTGAAATCTGTGAATTTCCAAAACATAGATCAATCTTAGAACATACCGATAGATGCGAAAAAGAAATAAAACTGGAGTGTCAAGTACGATATTTATAACCAAATACTGTAAGCCTCTTTAAATATACGGATCATCAAATCTATCGAGCGTTGCGATATTTATAGATTCCACTAATTGTAATCAGTTAAAGGCACCAGTTACTATTATTTTTAAAACTGTCTAAAAATGACAATTTAGACATTTTCAATTTTTTTTTTGTAAATATTGTTGTACACATTTTGCTCGGGTGTGTGTGTGTGGGGGGTGAGGGGTGGAGGGGGCGGGCAGTGCCTGAAAGAAACACTGCACCTACGTTTCTATATTCAAGAATTGATAGTTAGTTGAATGTAGATTAAGCGCAGTAGGGGATTTATTGTTTGTAATCTTTAAACAAACAAAGAAATGTTACAAGGCCTACTGGATATTACTGTGGTGACTTTAGAATACATCAAACAGATGCACCCTTGAAATATAAAGATTAGCAACAGACTCCAAGCACAAGGATTGCAATGTTGTTGTTTTTTTTCTAGATCAGAGCTTAAACTGAAGCTCAGTTTTTAGTGAGTTTGTTGGACAAATTGATAAAGGTTTGAGAAATACTATCTTAGACACTAGTTTAGATTCTTAATTGAAATAATCAAATAGTACCTTAATCTAAGTCTATGAATTGTGCTCATAGGAGACAGTTTTTATCGTGAAGGTATTTGTTTATTTGTTTTGTGGTTTTTGTTAATATAGATTTTCCCGTGTATTATTTATACATGAATTTTTTTACATTGTTTTAATTATCTTACACTATTCAGATATTTATTTTGCTTAGTCTAAACGCTTACAACATTTTTATTTTGAAAACAAAATAATGTCATCTGTGTGACAGTTGTTGAAAAGGGATAGCTGGGGGAGGGCTGCGTGCCTCGTGCAATAAACTAACGCTGCATAGTATCATTTATAAGGTTTGGTGTCATCAAGAATACATTTTATACCTTAAAGCAGTGGTTCTCAACCTTCCTAATGACGCGACCATTTAATATAGTTTCTCAAGTTGTGGCGACCCCCAAGCACAAAATTATTTTCGTTGCTTCTTCAAAACTGTATAGTATGTGTGTTTTCCGATGGTCTTACGTGACCTCTGTAAAAGGTTGAGAACCGCTGCTTTAAAGAGATATGGTAAAAATCCGCGAGTAATATTATTCGATTTGTTCAGTAGTTCTAATCTAAAGCATTTAATTTTTTTTTAAATACGTAAAAATACGTTTCTCCGAAATAATTTTGTAGATTTAAAATCTTCAAACTTCCCAATAGACATCTTCCGAGTCTGATTTCTCTCCTGACACCCAGCTCGGGTGAAATGCTTCTCTGTGGCAACCTCTTCTTGTCGCAATTTCTTCTGCGTGATCCAAGTCTGTAAGTGATTGATGCGAGTCACAGCTGTAGGGAAGAGAGGAGGGGGTGGATTCCCGGATAGC